ATAACGTTTGGTTGAGGTTATTGCTGCCAAAGGAGGGTCAACCAGTTATTAACTCCAAGGGTTCACCCTGCACTGTGAATGTTTACATGGTGTGTTCAATAAAAACATATAATTGTCTGTGTGGTTTTAGCTTAAGCAGACTGTGTTTGTCTATTGTTGTGACTTAGATGAAGATCAGAACACATTTTATGACCAATTTATGCAGAAATCCAGGTAGTTCCAAAAAATACCTGACCACTGAGTTAACACACCTTCTCTGGAGTACTGAATGTTGCCATTAAAGGTAAACTCCACAAACTTTACTTAAAACATGTCAGTTTAGTAGTCACATGTAATGCTACCCTTCTAATTCAATAACTATGATCAGTTGAATATAGTGTTAGTCTCTGAAGGAATTTTGTAAGAAAATCTTGAAAGATAGATAGGATATTTTAACAAAAGATGTTTCATGATTAAGCTGAATGTAGGACCGCCATGGAGCTGGGTACTGAAAGTCAAGTGTAATCTGCTGTTTTCATTTCAACCTTTATTTTTAAAGATATCTTTGCCAAGTTCGTCAACTTTGTGTACATGTAATACTTAATCTTTGCAATAATAGAATGCATGCACCAATTGGAGTGCAGCCTGATGCAGTTGCTCCTGACATACAGTATTTGTACTATTTTCAACTTTTAGCTTACTTACCTTTTTTTCTATTAGTAACTTATTTTAGTAATTCTTAAGCTACACCCTCTCTGAACATGAGTATAGAGAGAGATTCTTGTTAATTTTTTCCTGTTGAATTTATGCTGATTTGCATATATAGTAGCTGCCTTGTTTACACCAGGGAACAGCTGGCTGATATGATGGGCGGAACAACAGCTATCCCCACGGAAATCTGGAGAAGAACATAGAAGATACTGGGTAAACCAGAGAGAGTAAGAAGGGGGAGATAATGGAGAAAAGGAGATATAAGCTGTGTCTCATCTTCCGCAACATAAGATCACTGGCTAATAAAAGGAACGAGCTAACGGTGTTAGCAAAGATTCAGCAGGAAAATCTGGAGGGAAGTTTAACGTGCTCCACGGAAACATAACTCCACCAGGACATACCTGACGACAACATTTCCATCAAACTGCAGACTGTTTGGGCTGGGATTTATGTGACCGGCCTGTGGGAGCCAGAATTCTTGTTGGTTCCCACAGTTAAATGCAAATACATTTATATATTTTATATTATGTACATTTCTGGATATTATTTTTGATATTCTTACTCTCTGTTAAAATAAACCTACCATTCAAATTATAGACCGTTCATTTCTTTGAACTGCTACCTCCGCGACCCGACCACGGATAAGCGGGAGAAGATGGATGGATGGATTACATTTACTTCAGAAACAAAAAAAACTCGCCCCACTGAATCCACGGCTCATGGGTCATCATCACAGTGATGTCACAGCCTGTGAGAGTGTTTCTTGTTCCCGTTGAGCTTGAATGGCCGCTCTGCCACCAGTGTGTGGGTGGTGACTTGAGATGCACTATTTAAAGGCATTCTATTTACCATCCCTGTATCAGGCCATGTTAAACACAAATACAAATGTATCAGCTGACATGGCCCATCACAATCATCCCCTGCCTGAACAACTTGCAGCAAATTGTCACAAATTGTTTACTAAGCTAAAGGCTGAAAGAGCACACTGACTCAGATCTAAAGAAAATCCCTACATTTACTGGATATTTCAAGATAGCCCTGTCTCAATGTTCGATGGCTGTTGCGCTTGGACTGTGCACGTGTAGGTCATGACATTTTCCCAGCACACACTTGCACAGGGCAATAAAAAAATATTTGTTCAGGTAACGCAGGACGAGGAAAAGGCAGGCCTCACAGAGTAGCTTGTGAGACCTTCCATGGGAAATTACAAAGTCAATGACACATTTTACATTTCTTCCAGGGGAATTTACACAGAATATAAATACGACACCCTCTGTCCTTAGACCCTGACATCGGACAAGGAAACAACTGTCATTAACTTCTAATGAGTGAAGTGCCCAATACCTTTTTTTCAATATAAACAAAACAGTCAAGAAGTGTTGACGCTTACACTTTATTCGTAAAAATCAAACAAACAAAAATAGAATCTGCAGGGTCAACGCAGCAAATAGGCTCAGTTATGGATAAAGGGCCACTTTTATGTTCAGATCATCTTTGTTACCTGCACTCGCCCATCATGTGATTGGCAGGAAAAGTTTTTATTTACACAAAGCACCGATCAACAGTGCTCTATTCTGCTGAACATTAAACCTTTCTGCCCCCTGTCAGCAGTGTGACCTGAGCCTCCCGGTGCCGCCACATTGTCTTAATGCCCCAGTGCTTGCTATTGAAACATGATCTGAGCATGAGAGGGACCCTGCACATTCCTGTTGGAAAAGGGCAGCCAGGAGCTTGTTAAATGTGAGAATAAATGGCATGCCAAAAACCTCAAAAGCATGAATGCAGATTCCTTTCCAATGCAAGGTTGCCTCAATCATAAAATCCAGTGCTGCTGATGTGGGAAATATGTTACCTCGACAATTTTGTAGAAATCTTCCCCATTGTTATGATGGTTTTATTGAATAAAAAAAAAAATGTTTATACATATCCTCAGTGTGACACAGATAACTGTAAAAGGCATCATGCGGGTGAAGAGAATATTAAGTGACCCAACAGCAAAATGCCTCTCTTTCAACTTTATATTAACTTATTTTTCCAAAAATCATCTCAATCACTCAAAATCCAACTCCACATTCAATCATTCCTATGAATACATCTGAAGGCCTTCCACCTGGAGGTCAGCGACAAGTTACATTGACTTTTTTTTCTTTTGTCATTTTCTCTGTAGGTAATCATAGATAAATACAAACAATACATACGGAATGTCTACTGCAAACAATACATAAACATGTCTTGAAGGAGTTTGTTTTCCTAATGTGGGGATGCTTTATGTAGGTAATCATGATTGATAATCAAAATAAGTGACTCTCCCTCGCTCACCTGGAGAAAGAGGAACAAAAAAAGACAACTCCCAGTGTTACCGTGACAACCACCCTCACTGTTTTTCCCAGGTACATACAGCAGTGTCAGAAAGCTGTTGTGTTTCTCTTAGTCCAGGATAGAGTAGGGCTGAAAGCTGTCCACATGGTGTTGAATGGCAGTACGCTCCTTCTCTTCTAGGACTTCCACAGGACAAGGCGGGGCCAATGTCAACTGTGACGCCGCTCCCAGTCACCGTGAGTTCATCAAGTCTGGTTGGGCTTTTTATTCTCAGAGAGAGATTCCTTAGAAGCAAACTGCACTTTTGCTTGGATAGTTGACATTGTTTTAAATCATCTTCAAATGGGTTTGGGGTAAGACCCCTCCTCCTTCAGGTTACATAAACTGCATCTAGTAAGAAAGAACAAAAAAACATTGTGGATCAGAGAAAAGCTGTTATACCCAGAAATGCATAACCAGTACCCAGACAAGCAATGTGTAGAGAACATAAGAGCTTAAGTCCTCTAACAGGGCACAACACAGACGCTGTGTACAGCAATAATGCAGCATTCACAAGATATATGTAGCTTAGTGTATTGAATCGTTTCTCAGATCATATGTGACATTCATTCTTTAAGTCTTGGATGGCTAAAATGTGTTTATGATATATTCTGATGGATCACATAACAGAACCCAGTTTTGTTTTGTTGTTTATTTCTCCAGAATAAAAGCTATGGTACGGGTGCCCGATAAGAATATAAAACTGTGTGTGTGTGTGTGTGTATGTCATGCATGCACGTTTTTGCATTCAGTTTACAATTAACAACCACACAGGTTGGTATATTACGAAGGTTAACGTGGTTCAGGCTGGCTCATGTGAGGAAGGGGGGGCAGTGTAGTTGTGGCTGTCCATTACCTGTGCACCTGGGTTGGGGCCAAAAGGGTTGGCTGGCCTTATCACAGGCTGGGAGTACATCATGGTGGGCTGGGTCATCATCATGGAGCTCACCTGGGGAGGCTGACGAAGAAAATATAATATCACACCGATGGATTACAAAAGAAAAAAGCTTGGAGAAAAAAATAACAAACACCTCCTAAAATAAGGTTCTAACGCTGTGAAGGAAACCAAAGCGTTCAGTGATGACATCACAGCGCGTGTGTGTGTGTGTGTGTGTGTGTGTGTGTGTGTGTGTGTGTGTCCCAGAGCAGACTTACCATTCCATATGCCATCCTGCCTGTGGTTGTGGTTGGAGGGAATGCCATGACAGATGGTGCCTGAGGTGACACACAGAACAGGAATCAGGACAGTCATACCCGGCTCATATTCAGATTATTATTAATTATCACATTTAGACTTTAGTATATGTACGTTTAGTTAAAGTAACCAGAAGTGATCTATTCAGGAACATGTCCTGATGAAGACTTTGGGGGAAATATATACATCAGCAACATCAATATTAATCAATTTCATATACAACATCCACTTCAGCTCTGATCAGTCAGAGGATGTTTCACTGGAGCAGTCACATGACTGACCTTTTAGCAAATCACAAGCTGCTTTTCACTGCTTCATTTAAAACATTCAATAGCTTCAAGGAAGGCAATTGCAGTATACCATTGCCAATATGAGGATTTACACTGCATAGAAAAATAATACACCCCTTTGAACTTTTTATGAATTATGTTGAACCCCAGACAGGAATTCAAAGGCAATTAATCTATATATTTGTCCAACTAATCTAATAATCTAACCCTATTTAACTAATTATTTTTATAACTACATACTTAACTATAGCACCACTTCAACTTCAGGAATAATATAAGATTACAAACCATAACTTAATATCTTACAGTTAGGTCTCACACAGAGACAGCTACATTGGCATAAAATAGCTCCAAAAAGATTGTGACAAGAAGTAGAAAAAAGGTGCACATCAGGTGGGAATAGGAAAGAATATAAAAAAATCTCGACAGACGCTCAGAGCACTAAGTGGAACGTTTATGGCACTTCCAAGTTTACCAAAACCACTGTCCGTCTAAACTAGATGATCAGGAAAGAAGACATTTAGTCAGCGTTGAGACGCAGAATCCAACAGAAACCCTGAAAACCAACATGGTTTTAGAGACAGAGGGCAACACGTTCATCACAAAAACCTCAAAGATTTTGCAGAAACCCTGTAGTACGGCTGTACCCTGACAGATATTTGTGTAGTTTGATGACATAATGCCAAATGTTAACCAAAGTTATCATTTTATATACAGAAACATTTTGAGTTCAGCTTTGACCCAAACACATGAAGTTTTTTGACCAGAGAATGACAGAGGGGAAACGGAAAGCAGACAGGAGAATGTTTGAGTCCTGGGGGGAGAATTCGGTAACTGGCAGGTGCTCCTTATGGAAAGAGATTTAAGAGAAAAGTACAGACCCCCCCTGTTTTCTGTGCCTCGCCAACAGCCCCTGCAGTGATAACAAACCCAGATTTGTCTGATGCCTCTCGGGGAGGATCCATTCCATTAACTATTCAGTCATTGGCCAGGAGGAAAAATGGAGTCAGACGTGACGCTGCTGCCAAAACTGGTGCTTCCATGCTCCTTCATTGCACCAAGCTTTCCTCAGAGCTTCTCCTGACTCACAATGTTTGGTCTGTTCAGGTGCATCTCACCCAGCGTCGCTCACAGCCAATAAGCATGTGATGAGGCTTGTTTTATTTCAGTCACACAAACAGGTTATCCTTTAATGGCTGATGGAAGTTGTGTGTCTGCTTCCATCAAGTCACCAACTCTTTCTTTCTGGCATCTGAGAACACTTTTTGATCTTCATCATCAATACCTCCTGTGTGAGTCCATTATGATTGTTGGGGAAATATCTTCTCCATAACTTTGACCCAGTTTATCAGTCTGTACTGCCTTCACTGAGCACAGGCCTGCAACCTTGGGCTGCTGTGCCCCCTTTGTTTTGTCTCGCTATTCCTGCCTAGAGGAGTTATAGTAATTTGCCTGTTTTATCTTGTTATGCACAATGTTGATCATTCTTTCAGAGCTAAATACAAGGGACTGGGTGAGAGATCTTCAGAATCGGCTAGGCAAGCATTGTGTCAACTCGTGGCTGCAGCACGTCTTTGTCAAACCTCCGGCCGTCATTAAAAATAGATTTTCAGTGTTTACCATCACGCTCCAGCTCTCCTGTGTTCACATTCTGTTTCCACTTCATGCTCAGGAAGTTTGCATCACTAGGATTGGGGCTGCAGTATAACTGAAGTATAATTTCAAAGTCTTCACATTCTCACTTTAAAGGTCCCATGTCATGGCCATTTCTACTGATCATAGTTCCATTGTTGAGGTATACTAGAATAGATTTACATTGTTCAATGTTCCAAACTCACATTGGTTTCTCATACAGCATCTCTGTATAGTATGTGTATTCACTCTCTGTCCTACACGGCTTGTTGGAGCTCCTGCCCCCCCTCCCTCCCTGTGAGCCCACTGTGCTCTGATTGGTCAGCTCGCCCACTCTGTTCTGATGAGTCCACCATCGTTACAGCGGAACATCAGTGATTATGTGTTACAATGGCGTTTGTTAGCAACCAGGAAATGACACCAGTAATGACAAACAGATGAGAATGCTGCGTGGGGTCTGGGTGTCGTGTTGGCGGGACGTTGCGCGGCTCGCTGCTGCGAGGAGCGGACAGTGTGACCTGGGTTCATTTCCTGCTTGCTGAGTGGGGTCTGCGAGACATCGCGAATGGACGCGGGAAGGGGGGGTGCTGAATGTTAGTGGTGACAGTCCTCATACATGCAACAGCGTATTTTGTCTACATTGGTCAACATAATCTGTCAGGTTTTTGGCAAAACTATGACAAGTTGGTTGTATAAGGCAGCCAGTTGCTCCTTGTCAGTTTTTTGCATTCACACTTTACAGCTACCACCTGGATGGGAGAAATCTGTTCAACATTACAGAATGAGAAAGTTCAGCATGAAGGACTGAGCCACAGTAAAACCTGCACAACACAGTAGCTTCAGGACAAAAGCCAGCTGGAATTCTAAGAGAATGCTGAGGAAGAAATAAATAATCAAATGAACCCTTAAACACATAAGATGAAGTTTGCTGTGCTGGTAAATGTTCCATTTAGGTAATGAGGATGAATGATTTTCACTGATGACTATTGTCTTTTGCTAAGGTATTTCACCTGAACTTATTGCTACAGTTTGGACAGGTGTTAAAGCTGGAGGATATAACCAGGAATCAATAAAAACAATAGTTACCATCTAAAACATGAGTGCTGTATTTCTGTTCCCAGGTTTTAGCAGTGCTGATATATTTGACCCGCTTAATCAAGCAGAGCCACGTACAGGTACAGGTACTGGGCTGCTTGGATAAACTCCACTGGTTTAAATCCTGGCACTGCCCAGGAGGTGATGCTAAATGCAAGTTTCAGGTACTTTAGCTCATCTGCAACATGGAAACCCAAATAATTAATAACGCAGGGTTGTTTAGCTGAGTAATACAATATGTGTGTTTCAGACAACATTGTGATAGAAGGTATGGGCTGCTGGGAGCTGAAGCAGGAGACTACCCGTCCCCAAGGACTCTCCCTGCTCCAGACAGGTGTCTGCCCTGTCAACGTGCGAGCCGACCACGCCAACTCTACCATACAATATAGAGAGGAACTTCTACACATCAAAGCGGGGATCCCAGGCCTCAGTGCTAGTGAGACTGGGGAAAAGTGAAAACCGGCCTCTTCGGACTTTATCTGCGCCAATATGAAGAAAGTCCTGCCGGAATACTACCAGTATGCCGAATGTGCAGTGGAAATACACTGGACCATGTTTATTCTTCAGACCACATCTCACTGCTGCTGCTGCTGCTGCCTTCTTACAGGCAGAAACTCAAACAGGACAGACCGGTGACACAGACTATACAGCGCTGGAGTGAGGAGACTAAGACCCCATTTACACGAGGACAAAACGGGTTGTATCTGCATAGTTTATCTTGCGTATAGCCCTTTCGATTACACAAGGCCGTAACAAAACGATAGAAACAGACCCCGCAAACGATAACGGGTCCCAAGGTGGATTGATCTGCAAACGGAACACTCTGGGGGGTCAAACGGCTCCATGTAATCGCCTCGATACGATCATTTTCTGATAACGATGAAATAGCCCCGCCTCACTCTCCCCACGTCTCCCTCTCCCCACGTCTCCTGCTCAGAGATCAGCTGCTGGGCTGTCAGAAGAGGGCGAGGAAAAGAGAGGCTCCGTTTATTATTCTTATATTATTATACAGAGTCGTTATCAATTATTTTTAAAGCTCAATAAATAACAAAGAAGACCTCTGACCGGCACTTTTCTAATTTTGTACGGAAGATTTACACTTTAACAGACATGTTGACCGGCGCAACATTTTTTTTAACGGAAACTGCCGCACGGTTCCCTCGTCCCCTGGAAGAGGCCGAGATGTGGGTGTTTTTCATCTGCTGTTGGACTACCTGAGAGATATACAGCAGGAGAACACGCCGTCCACCGCGGAGAATAAACAGAAGGGCAACCATGGCAACCATGCTCCAGGGTCTTCTTCGCTGCTTTTGGTGTATTTTGTGGCGGCCGCAGTTCCACTTACAGGCCTGGCATATGTACTACAGCGTTTCCAACGTTTCCAGCGGTCTCGTGTGAACGAACACGTTAAATGAATCGAATGCATGTGAACGGAAGACTTTTTTGAAAACGCATACGTTGCGTAAACGCAAACGTTCCCGTGTAAATGGGGTCTCAGCTCTGCAGGACTGCTTTGAATCTACGGAGTGGTGTGTGTGACAACATCAATACACACACGGATGCGGTCATCTGCTACATTGGCAAATGCATCAATGACGTAATACCGAAGATTACTGTATAAACATTCCCGAATCAGAAGCCCTGGATAAACGGCGAGGTATGTGCCAAGCAGAAAACGCACAGAGGTGGATATTTTGACGAGTACAGGAATTCAAGGTACGCACTCCGGAGAGCTATCAGCAGTGCAAATAGCCAATACAGAGACAAAGTGGAGTCTGACGGGCTAAGAACAATGACCGACTACAAAGGGGCAGCGGGTGATGTTGGGGGAGTGTCTGTGTGTGCGTCTCTCCCAGATGAGCTGAACTCCTTTTATGTACAGTTTGAGAGCAAAGGGCCTTTGAGGGCCTGGCCAAGGATCCCTGCCGTTTTGTTTTAGACTGGGCAGATGTGTGCAAATCCTTTCAAAGGGTTAATCCACACAAGGCTCCTGGACCTGACGACATCCCTGGGCGTGTTCTCAGGGTGTGTGCAGTTCAGCTGGCAGAGGT